CTCTTCCCCCCTTTCCCCTCCTTCGTAACTGCTTTACCTCCGCCTCGTACGCCGACCGCCCGGTTATAATACCCTACCCTACCCATCAGTTCTCACATACCCCATCCGGGTGGTCTCGGATCAAGTGGTAGGGGCCCTTCCCCCAAGCGTGTGGGGGTTTTCGCGCCGGCGCACTCTCCATCAAATGCATGATGCTCCATCCGAGAGCCCACGGTACGGTCTGTGGACATACCTAGGTTAGTACCTCTACCTGGGCATCCACCGCGTCTTGCCCTTTGACAACTGGAGCTCCTTGGTCACGCTTCCCTTTCCATTCCAATGCTCAGACAGATGGACCTGCCAACAACGTGACCTGTTGGCGGCCGTTTTGAACGCTCATGACTTAAACAAACACAAAAACAAGAGTCGTCACGAACACGGGCAGAGAGCTTGATAACGAACGGTTCACGATCTTGTACCTTGGGCGCTATATACTGCCTAAACGAGAAGCGTATCGCACCTGGGTATCTGCGCAACGTCGATCCGACCGGCCCTTCCCAGCTCCATCCACTCGAGAGCGTGAGTCGCCAGCGCCAATACTTCAGTGGGCTCCCTAGGTCGGCACCGCCAACCTCCTTCTCCATCAGAGGGCCCCCCCTTACCCCCTCCTCCTAGTAATCCGATCCACGCACCCAGCCCCGAAACCCGGCCGCCAGCCTGTGGCTTCTTTCATTCCCATCTCGACTCACCACTCCCGCACTTTGGTCAACACCGCCAATCAATCCTCGACCAGAGCCCCAGCCCAGCCATCGTCGCTGCCGCTGCACATCTCTTCAGGACCAACATACGCACCGGTTTGCCGTCTTTGTCCACCAAGACACGACGCCCTCGACGCCTGCCGACCAACGGGCGAAGCCACAAACAAGAAAGCATAGCGGGACTTGCAGGTGCGAACCGAGAGGGGCTTCGAAAACCCGAATCCGACCAACGTGAGACTCTAGCCAGAGTCAAAGGGTCTGAAGTCAACCCACCTTCTCTCCCGTTTCAACAAAACATCCTCGCCCTGCTTCCTCGCCCTAATTCGAGTTCGAACTGCTCTGCCGATTCCAGGAAGAGAGGGAGAGAGAGAACGAGACTACACGCCGCTGCAGCCGCGAGCCTGAGCAAGCGCTGGATGACCGACACCGCTAGATCACTCACCCCTCTTCCGTGAACGTGCTCGCAACCAAGCCACCTCGCAACCGCCCACCCGACTGCATCGTATGCCGATTATACCGCGATCTCGTTTCGACCGACTGATCCACTGATCCACTGATCGAGCAATCTCGAACCGCCACCTCCATCCGACCGTATCTGTGAGCTTGCGACCGCCGGCGAATGGAGTAGGTCGACATGGCACATGCTCCCCTACTGCGAACCAACACGGCACCGGTATTCTCACAGTCTTCGAACGGTGTCGGAGGCATCAGTACCATGAGCCATGCGCCGCGCGCCAGCCAACTGTCTGGCTCAACAGCGTACAACAGCTCCTCCGCCTCGCTAGCCTCGTTGTCATCCGCGGCTACTGCTGCGACGACCGCCACCACGACACCCCAGAATGGCGGGCCCGTCATAGCCACGGCTAACATCATCAACCAGAAGGCCGATGCCTCTCGCTCGCTCTATCATCTGTGTATGGCGCTCAAAGTGAGACTCGCCCAGGTTCCCGACTTTGGTCCCTCCCTCCAGCAACTCGATCCGTACGATCCAGTCGAGTCCCTTTGGGGTCTATTTCGCACCGGTTTCCCTCTCCTCGAGATCTATAATGCGCTGCAACCCACTGTGCCCCTCAAAATCGAGGACTCGGTCCCCAAGACCACGACTGCCGACAAGAAAGCCAAGATTGCTGTTTTCAAGTTCATCCAGGCTTGCCTGAAGGATCTTGGTATTCCTTCTGCTGACTGTTTCGTCATAAACGATGTCCTGGGCAACGATACAACGGGTTTCGTCAAGGTATGCTATAGAGACCGGCTGTCTCGAGTCTTTTTTCCACGGGTTTAACACAAAAGTGCAGGTCACACAGGTGGTCAATTACGTGCTCGATCTCGCGCAGGAGCGTGGCCTGCTTCTGCAGGCTCAGCCGTACCCTGAAGACGAAGCCGCTCCCGAACCAGGCTCAAAACTGAGCTACCGCGACTACATTGTTAAGGAGTTGGTTGATACCGAGCGGAAATATGTGCAGGATCTCGAGAACCTGCACGATCTGAAGAGCAGCCTCGAGACCAAGGGCATCATCACCGGTGACACCATTCACCAGATTTTCCTGAATATCAACGCCATCCTGGACTTCCAGCGGAGGTTCCTCATCCGCGTCGAGACGACCAATTCTATGCCACAGAGCTCCCAGCATTGGGGAGCCCCTTTTGTTGTTTATGAGGAAGCCTTCGATATTTACCGCCCTTTCATCGCCAACCAGCGGAAGGCCGCGCAAGTAGCGAACCAGGTTTTCGAGCAGATCAAGACGGCTGCGCATCCAGTGGCAGTCGACTTCAATACGCTGGACGGTTTCCTGCTGAAACCAATGCAGCGTCTCGTGAAGTACCCTCTTCTGCTCAAGGTAATTTGGCTTGCTTGTAAATGTCCTTTGCACTTGTCATTGACGCTATGCAGGATCTGAAGAAGAAGACGGAAGACGAGACTGCCCAGAGCGAATTAGCTGCCGGCATAGAGGCTGCGGAGCGAGTTCTCACCAAGGCAAACGAAGAAGTCAATCGCGATCTTCTTGATGAGGCGCTCGAGGAGCTCCGTGTCCGCGTAGATGACTGGAAGAGCCACAAGATTGAACAGTTTGGTAAGCTGCTGAGGCACGGTGTCTACACCGTCGTAACCGGAAAGACAGACCAAGAAAAAGAGGTAAGCTATATCTGCGCAGGAGCCAACCGTGTCGCATGGTGCTAACTTGCCAACCGTATGAAATTTATCTCTTCGAATGCATACTTCTTTGCTGCAAGGAGATCTCTCCGAACAAGAGCAAGGACAAAAAGGACAAGACACGGTCCACTGGCCCAAAGATTCGCAACAAAAACGCGAAGCTCCAGCTAAAGGGCAGAATCTTCATGACGAACGTCACGGACGTCGTTTCCCTCTCCAAACCAGGTCAGTCCTCACCGGCTCCTGGCCTCCTGGCCAACGCAACTGACGAACATGCAGGTTCTTATAGTGTTCAAATTTGGTGGAAGGGCGATCCTGGCGTCGAGAATTTCATGATCAAGTTCAACAACGAGGAGATGCTGAAAAAGTGGGCTCTCGGCTTGGAGACGCAGCGTAAGGTATGGGCTCAAAAGACCGCAGGCAGCCCGGATCAAGCAGCGCCCGAATTCGCTTGGACCCAAGCTCACGGGAGCAAGCTTGAGAATCCATATCTCAACCAGGGCGATGACGAGGACGATGAGGACTTGGGCCCAACGTCAGCGCCACCCCAATTCCCAATGTCGCAGCAAACATCCGGGAATGGACCGCGCCTCCCTCGCAACGCATCAAGCACCAGCCTTCGCCAACGGTCTGCCACAAACGACAGCACGGGCTCATTGGCCGGCATGGTCCGCGCCGCTCCCCCACGCTTCCCGTTGCCTCAGCCTCCGGGACCGTTGAGTGTCCAAACTCAGCTCCTCCCGGGCCAGTCCTCGCCTGGTTTCCGCGGCGGCGACTCGTACTTTTCACCCATTGCCGAATCGCCCGCCTCGTCCAGGGCAAGCACTGCCAGTTCCATGATGCCGCCCTCTGCTTACCCGTTCCCAAAAACGTCGACGCCCCAGCCTGGCTGGGGAGAAGAGCAGAACCGGTACACAGCACCGGCCATGCCGCGTGCCCCTTCGAGGGATGGTCCTTCGCCGAACCCGTATGGGAACGGGAGGAACCCTCGAGGGCCCTCACTGCCGGCCATGGCCTCGAACAACCAGAGCGCGGCCCAACAACAACGAAGTCGCTCGTACAGCACACCGGATATCAATGGGCCCAACGGTGTGCCAAGCGCACGCCGCAACCCCTCAGTGCCATCGATCCCAGCAGTACCAGGCATTCCGTCCCATCTGCACCCAGCTCATGACGGCAATCTTCCCCGCTCTCAGACCGGGTCTCCCCGACAGCAGAATGAGCTTCCCATGAGGTCAAACACGCAGAGCCCGGGTACCCAACGTGAGCGGCAATACGGCCATCAATCATCGGGTAGTTATGGTGGCACCATGTCTCACTTTCCCGCTCAGCCGATTTACCCCCGACACGGAACTCCCACTCAGGGCTTTCACAACGAGCGGAACCTCAGCATCGACGCAACCGCAGCAGGTCGATCTATTTCGCCTGGCTTGGGTACCGCCTCTGGGATCCAGACCAATCCTCTAGCCAGCCCGGACCTGCCAATCCCCACTCAGCTAAAGGTCAAGGTAAACTGTGTTGACAGTGGGAACTATGTTACACTAGTGGTTGCATTCAACATCACGTACCAGTCCCTCATTGACCGCATCGACGCTAAGCTCGCTCGCTTCACCAGCAGCAGCATCAGCAAAGGCGCGTTGAAGCTGCGTTATCGTGATGAGGATGGCGACTTCGTCACCATTGAGAGTGACGACGACATTCAAATCGCATTCCTGGAATGGCGCGAGGGCGTACGAAACATGTACGCTGGTGGCGTTGGCGAGATTGAGCTCTTCTGCGTAGGAGACACAGGTGGCGGAGGCAGCAACGTTTGAACGGGTTTTGGGGTGAATGAGGGGTTTCCCTCACCTCGCGTTTCATCTTCCGGGCTTGACGGATCATCGTAGCATACACCCGATCGAGTCCCTTTCATCTCGCATTCTTGGAGTCTGGAGTTGGGATTCCGGCCGCATTCTGACGGATTACTTCTGAGCCGCCCGCGGCTTTTGATATTTTTCTCTTTCATCATGGATAAGGAAGCGGGGGATGGAGGGTGTGAGCCGCACTTGTGGCCAGGTCCATTGTTATAGGGCATTTGAGGCTTTTCGCGAATCTAGACGGACTGGGTCAGCATACCCATTTTTTGGACCATTATGGCATTCGGTTTATCACTCGCTACGGATATGGGGGCATTGGATCATGAATTTGTTGCTGACGAGTCTTCCTCCACGTCGAATCCTCTGTGATGTTGCAAACTCTAGTCTCATGTGAACGTTCTGCAGGCTTACCACTTGCTTGCTGATTGAAGGATCAGTAGAAGGCTGCGTTGTGCTCACCACCATTTGGACAAGCTGAGCGTACATCTGTCACTTGCCGGGTTCTCGAGCAGCACGGGAAAAGCGTGTTTGAAATATCGAATCATGTTGCTACAGATGGTATGATTTGGTACATGGTGATACAGCCCATTCTTCTATGCCAAGAACGCCGCATTTACCCCTTGGGGACGAAAAAATGTACAACTCCTTCAATGATGTCGCCCCTCGAGAGTCCAATGTTGAGAAGGGAGGTGGCGACCGGTGATTATTCTCGACAGGCTGACAGTCGTCTTGTACCATGGCCCAAGAGCCCAGGCAGCTTCGAGTTTGTCGTACGCCTGGAACGAGCACAAAACCCTTCGCTCAGCCCAATGTCACGGCTGTTCGTCTCGACGGCGGCCGCCCCCCCTCCGCTACCGACATTTTGACTCGAGGCCTCCCTCTCCTCTCGGGGCCCCGTTTTCGTCACTGGTCCCGCCGTGCAGCGTCTACCTCTTTCGCCTGCCGCTGAGGATGACGCGGTCGTACATGCGGGCCAGGTGGAAGTTGATCGTGTTGCGCGGGGTGTCTTGCGGCGGAGGCGAGTCCATGCATGTGCGGAGGGCGTTCTCGAGGGCGGCGCAGCCGGATGTGTTGAAGCCTGCGGAGGCCCAGCAAGCTACAGGAACGGGAAGAGGGAGGTTAGCCTGCTAGGAAGAATTCCTCGGGCGGTCGACGAAGGGAACATGGGGTCTTTCTTCCATCTGCTTTGGGGGAGGGATAGCGGCTGACGTACCGAGCAGTGAGGACATCATGGCAACGCAGGGCGATTCGGTCTTCTTGTCCAAGGGCGCGCGGACGCGGAGGCCCTTCAGGGGGGGCAGGCGCATTGGTTTTTGAGGCATCGTGACTGGCTTGTGCGCAGGTCTGTCTCTGTATGGTAGTCGGAGCGCAAGCAATGGCCTTGGCCTTCGGAGTGTCGTCGTTTGGCGTCGGTGGCGTGGGCTGGTCGTCGTCAAGGCTGTCTTATCGTGACCATCCTGAAGCTCAATTGTCAAGAGGTCCATGCCGTCGCGATGCTCAAAAATTCGAGGTCACGTGCCAGCGTTAAACAGTCAGGGGAGCACGCGCCATGAAGCGGTACGTACCGCCCCGGCAACGAAGCCCCACGAGGGTGGGGTTCGTCTTGGGTGAAGCTAAACAGGCGGCGCGTCTCATTGGCCGCATGCGACAAAGTAAACAAAGGAATTCCAGGTTACACTCCTAGGTTATTCGCGACTTGGGTCTTTCCTCATACAACTTATAGACGAGGTTCAAGGTTGACCGATTTCGCATTGCGCTCAGTCAGTACCTTCCACTTTTACCTTCTCACCCCTAACAGCGCCAACCACAATCCAAAGCTTTCCAAGAGAACAATTGCCGACAATACACGACCCGCGCCTCTGCCCAGCATGCGCGACCCCATCGAGACGAAGGTCTTCCGCCCAGCTACAACCTCGCCCAGCGGTGTCTTGTCGCGCTCCCATGCCTTGGGCTCCCAGTCTCCAGAAAAGACCATATTCGATAACCTATCAAAGACGACAACTTGGTTTGGAGAATCAAACCACAATATCCTTCCCATGGGTCACGATGGTGAGGACGCCGCCAACAAGGCGCGCGGCCTTGGCGCCAATGTCACTCTTCTCCGTCCGGAGCTCGTCCGGCCTTTCAACACCGAAGAGTTTCAAGGAACGGAATTCTGCTTCGCTCCGGTCCTGCAATATCCATTTCAAAAGAAGCCAAGAACCATCCGAAAGGCGGCGGTCAGGGCGGCAGACCGCGAGACGCTGAGACGGAGGCAAGAAGCGGAGAGGCTGAGGGAGGAAAGCCACGACACGACCGAACTGCAAAATGCGTTCGAGAAGTACCAGAAGACGGCGTGCCTGCCATCGGAGCAGTCGCCGCGGAAAAAGCTCATGAGTGAGGCGCCGGACGCGCAAGAGACGGCGGACGGCGAGTTTGACGAAGAATGGGAAGTCGCGCAGCAACATGGCGATTTCGAGATTAGCTGGGCAAAGGGTTTGTGGGCCCCAAGACTCGATATGGCTGAACCTAGCTGACCTTCTCCAAGCCGATATTCGAAATCATTTGCTGAACACCAGCGCCCCGGAAGCCCGACGAAAGCCTTCCAACACCGAATTTGGTCCTGCCCCAGTGGTGAAGCGACGAGCAGACGGTTCGGCGCGGGCCAACTGGATCAGACAGAAACAGGTTGATCCGGACGTCAAATACCTCCTCACGTTTCCAGGTGGTGAAATGGCCGCTCAGAAGGCGTACAACCTGCTTGGACGGAAAGATATGCTGCCGTTCGAAACCCTTGAGGAAGCTTCGAACGACAGCGTCGTCATGCCAGAAGATCCTCCTTCGACCGCGACCCACACCTCGGAAGAGAACCGCTTGGCCAGGTTGGAAGCTGCGAAGGCGCAGTTGCCTGAAGTCGCAGGGCTTCCGAAGAATGATCACACCAGTAACGAAGATGAAGTCCGCGATGAAGAGCAAGTCTCGGATGACGTATCCCTACCACCATCTGAAGCAACAGGCGATGGGCAAACGGACGACAAGTCCGTGCAAGATGCTGGTGACGCAGCTGAGACTGGACAGCTTGGCATCGACGACGCAGACCGAGTTCGCACGTTCGAGGTCCCTTCCTCCTTCTTGGACACTAGTATGCTCAGCTCCGGTGGCCACGACACTCCACCTCAGCCAAGCACGCCTCAGGCTCTGGCACTACCTGAGCAGCAGGTTCTCGATATTGACTTGAACAAGGGTTCCGACATTTTCGCCTCGGCCCTGTTGCAGAACCGAACCTCCACCGTGTCGGCATCCACCGTGTCGCACCTCAGCTTCACCACGCCGCAGCCATCCTCACCGCCCCCAAGTATGAAATCGCAGCTATGCGGGATAGACAACGATAGTCGTTGGTCCCCACTAGCGCAGTCCCCCACACCATCATCGCCCACTCCCTTCATCACTGTGGGTGATTCGGATCAGCCTGCCCACGACATTGGCTTGGAAAAGAATCAAGCAACACACAAAGCCCACAGAAACTCCTCCCCTATCGAAGCCCTTGCAAACCTTATCAGCCCTATTCAAGACATGGCCGATACTCGTGTTGTTCTGGGTCAAAATGAAGGCCGGTTTTTTATCCGGTTTAAGCTGCCAGATGAACATGCCGAAACCTTCTTGGAGAAAGTCGACCATGTTCAAGTCGATACATACATGAAACAAGAGGACGAGGCGGCCGAACGGGAAACAGAACCCGCTGTTGTTGTCCAGGAGCTGGAGGAGAAGGCTACCAGCGAAGTTGTAAAGGTCGTGTCAGAAGATGATCCTCGTGATCTTCTCAGACAGTTCGTTACGAAGCATCAGGCTGGCAAGGCCAGGCCCTCGGCCGCAAACATGTCTGCCGATACCGAATCGCCTACCGCCGAACGCGTCGTGGCCAAGCCTAACGCAGCCATACCAACCGCGCCGATTCTGCCAGCTGAGAGCCCCCGAACGCCAGAGTCAGGGTTCAACCGTGCTTCGATGCGTATTGAAACGCCTACTTTAAACATTGGGTCCGACCAGCCTGCTCTTGAGACTCCTATCAGGAACAGTTCGGCCAAAAAGTCCAAGCGAACGCCTCTTGGCAAGCTGGACGCTAATAGCCCCAGTCCTGTCAAGCCAAAGGCTGGCAAAAGAAAGATGGACGAAGACGGCGACGACGATGAGCAAAAAGATTTGGAGAAGACGCCAGAGCCGTCCCCGAAGCGCAGACGCGGCCTTCGTTCGAGGAAGCCAGCTACTCCAGGACCTGACGCAGCTCCCGTCAACTCGCGTCTGGTCCGGAACGCTGAGAAAGACCTTGCTTCTGTGACGCGAGCTAATACCCGCGCCAACAAGAGCGGTGCTCTCTATCCGGCCGAAGTCCTTGCCCAGTTTGCCGAAGACCCTTTGGGTCAACAGTGGAAGGAGAGGAAAGCGGTAGTAGACGCACGAGCGTCCCGGGCGGTCAAGGTTGGCGCTAAGAGCGTTCACTGGCCCGCGGCTCTGGCTTCATACCAGACCTTCACGTCTGACGATGGCACGGATGTTGCTGCCACTTTAGCTGCTGCGCCTATTTCCGCCTCGGAGCCCGAGCCTGAGTCCCAGGAGCTCACAGAGGGACAGTCGAAGAAGAGCCGAGCCGTTAAGTCCAAGTTGCCGGCGCCCGTTGGTCGTCCGCGTCGTGTTGCCGCTCCAGTTGCGCCAGCTACCCCCAGACCTGCCACACCTCGAGCTCCCTCCGCCAAGAGACCTGCTGCCAAGGCGCCGGAGGCGGACGAGGACGCCATCGTCGGCAAGAGGCCAACGAGGGCTGCAGCCCAAAAGACCAACATCAGGATGGGCCTCACAGCAACCGGCACGCCTTTACGCCGCCGGCCTACGCGATCGACGAGCACGTAGGCAAGGAGGATGGAGACTGGAGGATGTAGGACCGAGACGACGAACTTGTTTTTGTTTTGCTTTAGATTCTGCGCTGAGACTACGATACCCAGGCCATGGCGACGGCGTTTGTTTTCTGTTCCATAAATTATTTTGCTGGAAAATGCCCTCGAGATACTGGGCTTGAGTCGATCAGCTTAGACGCCCAGTTGTTGCTTGCGGACCTGAGTTAGGCTGATCACAGTAGGTGATCCAGGCCTGCGATTTCAAAGAATTGATATTGATTTTGTTTCACGCTATTTGCTCAGATGACCAGCCTGTTGCATGTTAGCTAGGTATTTGTGATCGAAAAGAGACTCAGCATTGCTTGATGTTGCGTGAGTTGGCCGGTAGGATTATGTGCTACGACGAATACGTGTAATCCAAAGCCATAGACAAAGCAACTTGGGTTTGGAGGTTATCGAACATTATACTACTCTTTCACGTGCACTCTCAGTCTGCTTGGAAAGATCCATGCATTGGCTTCGGCGGTCCGGTGATCGAAACAGGGCAGGGATCGTGACATAGGTGTATTGATGACGAGCGAGGGGACGTGCGGGCTCCTGAGTGAGTCCTCGAAGTTGAAACCATGAAAGTCGCTCTGTCCGTGATGCGCTACAGAAGTTCTCCCACAGCTCAACCCTTGCACATATCGTGAGCCTTGCGAAAATGGCGGCGGATGTGCCTACAAGATTATCTTACCGTAGCATCCTCAAGATCGAAACCAGTTTCATAGGGTATGATTCCGGGACATGAGCCTTGATGCAAGCAATGCCTCATGACCTCGAAACTCAATTACTTGTAAAGTCTTCATGCGAACTCTATCAAGGAAGATCTCAAGAGACACTATAACAACAAGACGCCGGCGAAATACTAGCCCACAGTTGACCAGTGCTGATACTATTTGAATGTGATTTGCGGCTTCCGAGAGCTAGCCGTTACTTGATACTTCAACCATAAGCGTACTGCGATGGTCGTAGTCCTGTGTTGTCCTGGGATCCAACTTTGCAAAACCCGCTGCGACAACACTTGACTACGAAAAAATGAGGTATACTCATTATGAATAACTATAGATACTCAATACAGAGTAAAAAGGTCACTTGGGTGAATCTTGTTTCACGCATATGTCAAATCTTCAATCGTAGGTTCTTCTTCGGACTACCTTTCGGACGTCCAGGTTAATGCTCTTGTCGAACTTCTCGTCGGTACAGGGACTCCTCGGAGCCTGTTCTCATTAGTTGCCATCCATGAACCAGACCTATTCTCATCTGCTCATTGTTTGGCATTGGTATGACTCCCAGACCCAACCACCAGTCGAAATTTGTGTCCTTGGACAACACTATCAAGGCTGATCAGCGCCGCCGGGATAACGCAACCGATTGTACAACTAAATCAAACATACCTTAAGATTGGCAGCACTGTGGCAGTACACCTGTCAAAGCCAAGCCATGATACTACTGCATATTCATTCATCCGCGACTCACAAGACAAACCAGAACTCCCATAAAGTGACCCCCAATACCTAATCAAGACGAACAGTCCACTTCAATATATGTAGCAAACGAATATAATGAGGAGGAAACATCGGAAGACGAGGCATAGGAACGAAGTTGGTTACATATGATGGCGGTGGATATTACGACGGCCAATAGCACTAGGATAGTCGGTCCAGTCACCAGGATAAATACAACCTCCCTCGGGGACGCGGCAACCATCATTTTTCAGTAAGATCACAATCAAAAGGGGCGGTCGAACATTCCTGGGACAGCCCACCAATAACCGTGGGCCATGCCGTAGATGGACGAGACATGACAGGGGAAGGACTAAACAAGGTATGAATCAGAATGGTCTCGCAACAAGGCTCCCATCAAACGAAACATGGAATACTTGACTTGATCTCGTATGAGGCTTTCAAAACTCAGTTGTGAAAGCGTCTTGATTCATACATGCCTTCCTAAGCCTCAACTATTGCTTCCTGTTTCTCGCCGCGATGTCTTAGGAGGAAACGCCTGCTGGTTATTCGAATGAATGTTTGGTATGTTCTTATTCTAAGCAGCATATATTTCCATTACCACATTTTTGCAGAGGCCGAGCCTGTTCATACCTCTGAATACAGACCCAAGACCCAAGTATTACCCCTTCTGTGGTCTCAGAGTTGACTGCTGTAGTACTGTTGCTATAGTACCCAAAGACGAAGACATTGGTTGCAAGAGAAGAACCGGAACGATGCAGGCCAAGGTGTCAGGAAACAGCAACTCGTAAAGGCGTCAGACATAACGTCAGGATTTAGGCTCGATTCTGCCACATCGCATGCCACTTGTCAGATCTTGAGTGAAATACAATGTCATGGCTTTGAAAGTCACAGTATGTTACTTGATCTTGCTCCGTTTCTTTCAGAGCTCATGTCCTGAACGAAAACCTCGTGTCAGATTGGAAGGCCCAGACTCATGCAGACTTGAACAGCGTCCACGCTGAACACGTGCTGGGTAATTGCTTTACTTTTTGTTTTCTGGTCTATACGCTTGTTCACGACGATGGTTCTGAGCGCTCTGTTCCTTTCCCTGTTACTTCCCAGGTCATCTGGTTAACTCAAGGCATACCTGGGAAACAGAGATTGTTGAAACAACACAATACTGTAGAAGTTTCTTGGTCTGAACAGCAGGCACGGGGTGCCACTCCTGTCGGGCTTGGGAGCTTATCTCCGGCGATCCGGCTCCCGCGCAAGAGATCAACAGAGGCCCAATGCGAGCCGAACGCCCTGGTTTACCCCTGATCCTTATTGTCGTGATGACGACCCTGCCCACGACGTGCCAAGACACGCAACATGAAGCTTGCAACTGACCATCTTTCATCATCTAGCTTGTCCTGGCGAACCCTTCGCATGGAACCGAGCCCAAGACTAGCCTTCATACCCCTACTAGGTCCAGCCGAATGTTAACCATGCGCATGGTTCGACAATGTCTGGTACCACGAATGATGCAAACAGGGTCACTCGTTACTAATGAACCGCTTTACGTTCCGGTATCAGCGACGGGTCACAATAGCTCAGGTTACACTTCACGTCGGCAGTATTGCTATCATAACCCCCTGTCTCTGCCAAACTTCCTATGCCTGTTCAGGACCTCACGCCTGTAACACGATGAAGCGCTCCCCTGCTGGCGCGTCGACCTGCTGACGTGCTTCTCCATTCACTCATTAAACCTCATCCGCATACAGCCCTGAGCCGGCATACTTCGAGCTATTTGGCCCAGGACTCTATCACACACGCTGGTGACGATTGTTGTTCTACATGACACCCCCCACGGAACCAGCCCGACCCTTGCGGCACGAACCCCCGGCGCCCTGAGCCCACGCACCGGTATTGATGGATGCGTCGAGGGGAATGCCGTGAGCCCCTCGCTTCCACTCGCAAACCGCCTGGTCGTCAGCATTGGGGGATGCCAAGGGCAGTCACTCACTCGCTGGCCATGTGGGGGTCATGCGAGGATTCCAGTGGTGGCGTCGAAGAGCTTCACGATGCAGCCAGCCACCTCGTACCATTCCTCACAAGGACGAACTCGGACCAACATGTCACATTCCGGGTCTGTCCGCATGGCCAATTACCACAACGTCGAAGCGAAGTGCGAAGGGCCTCGATCGGTGCGAGGCGCAACGTCGATCGCATTTTCAACTCGACATCGCCAGGCCACTGGGGGGAAAATATTGGACAGCCGTAAGCCACCGGGTTGGTAGGTACCTGGATAGGTGAACCTACTTCCATGGCCTTACTTCAGAGACACGGCTGAAGCGTACGCATACGCTTGGCCGCCGCCTAAGCGGCCACACGCTCGATGATTTTTTGGGGCTCCCCCAGCAGGGCCTGTGTCAGAGAAAGGAGAGTCAGAAATACCGTTGGGCGAAACCCTCCACAGCCTAATTGCCAAGCCATGTAACGCCCATGTAGTAAATACCCGCCAACCCCGCCAGGTACCGAAACCGATGCAATGGCAACATCTAGAGCCCCTCGTCAGCACGAGCCATAGCACGAGCCACCAGGAGCCCGCGCGAAAATCACGTACAACACCATGCGTAGCGGACGGCGTCTACCGAACCGTCGGGCCATTGTATGTCCCATGTAAGGTCAACAGCAAGCATACAGAGCCGTGGCGCGCGAGTGAATGCGCACCCCCCTCCCGTTTCTCTCCCGATCGCCGGGTTTCCCTACCCCCTTCCGCGTGATCTCAAGAGGGCCGGAGATGCGTTCGACGCCCTAGAGGGCAAGCGGCAGTCGTCCGGCTCGTCGTAACGCGCCGCGTAAATGGCCTTACGCACCCCTCCCAGACACGTTCCTTGCTAGACTCAATAGAAGCCTCTACCCGAGCACGAGCTGAAAAGGAAGAGGAAGCCAGACTAGCCAGTTTTGCCGATTATCAGGCATCGATTCCCCCCCACCTGACCCCCGCCTCCCTGTCGCCCCGATTCTCCCATCTGCTAACCGTGGCGCCAGTTTAGGGCGGGTAGCTAGACAGACCGCCTGTTCGGCAGCTGTGTCGCGTGGTCGAGTCGCCAGAAGCGGTCATTAGAGTTCTTGTCTTCCCCCTCGGGGTCATGGCTTCGGAGTAAGGTGGTAGGCAAGCGAGGGCCTAGGAGATAAAGAAGAGGGGGGAAGCCGACGTAAGGACGCGACTGAATCATCGTCATCGTCATCGTCATGCGCCATACTACGGCTGCGAATATACACGCAAGCAAGGTCAGACCTGCCGCTTGTCTCGGTACGAACTTGTGACACAAGATGGGCATCTTCAGCTGTCTGTTGGTCCTCACTTGCCGTAGTGCTGCCTGTTTGCTCGCGGCTGCGCTAGTTGCACATGGCAGCAAGATAGATTGGCTCCACGATCGTTGCGAAGCATGGGAGATGAAGGCTGGGGTTCCCAGGTCGAACGGGGGAAGGGAGAGGTGGCATGCGCAAGTGCCGATGAAGAGAACCGTCCGGGGCTGAAGGC